GGAAATACAAAGAAAAATGAAAATTCTGCCAATTGTTGCAAATGGTAAACTAGAATAATTCCATTTGTTAATGTCAGTCTATAGCGAATATTCTGGAGTTGAACTTACAATACAAATTGTTTCGATATTATTGAGGATTTTTCGCCATTTATCATAATTTAGCTCATAAGAATGCGAAAATTAATTACGCGGGGAAATCAGCAGGAAATCAGGAGAGCTATTAGTGGAAATCCCAGAAGAGATTGAGACATTTCAAAGAAAACACTCGTAACTTTTTATTCGTTTTCTGCGATTCGCCAATTGTTTACGTCAATTGTTTATGGAATAACACGACAACCGAAAAGATTTAAAAAATTATATAAAAATAATTATCAATCCTGGAGATTTAAGAAAAAATGATAGTCTAAGACATTTCCACAAAAATTCAGCGTCAGCTCCACGAGTTAATGACTCCTAATTAATCGAGCGTAATTCTCCAGTTGGATTTGACACTTGATTGCACCACTCAGCGAATTCGTGATACGAAAATTGATACGTTTGACAGTCGGTTTTTCCATTCTTATCACTAATTCACAGTTCGGTGCGATATAACCATCGAATAAATCATGAATTTGTCATTTATCGTTGAACAATATCAATGTTTTGATTTTGGTACTGAAGGGATCAAGGAGAGAAAACTCACCTCTCATTTAGACGTTGGTATCCTCCAGGACTTGAGTCTCCAGATATCAGAGGTGGATCTACACGACAGCTTTGTCACTAAAATCACTGATCATTTTCCATCGACAATAATCTGAACCAGCACCAGAGAGAGAACACATGAGTTTTATTTCTTTCAATTCGAGGGCATGATCTGGGGACTGCACTTTCACGGTGACGCGCTATCATAATCCATAATAAAGAAAACACAAAAAATAGATTTTTTTTTAATCTCTGGATCCAGGGAAATGGGTGCTTGATGCCGTTTATTTGACACTGCTAAAACGTGGCGTTTGATTGTTGATTGTTGAACACTATGTGGCTCCAGGCACTGTTGGATCGTTTGTTTAAACACCTGATGATAATTGGTTTGTTTTGTTTCACTGAATTAACGTGGGGAGAGGATAAATATTTCACTAACAAGTGCCAGCCATCTTGTTTTCCCCGGTGGGATCTCCTCCCTTTGGACACGACTATCGCGCACCTTCGGATTGACGGGATCAAAGAGGATTGACTGAAGTAGAGGCTCAGTACTGAGGGTTTGAGTGACC